CTCAACTCAAGACTCCCAGTAAGTAGACTAACGTCGGAAGCACACATCGAGAGCACTGCTAACATGATGCTGTGCAGACCTACCGGCAAGACCCTCCCTACCTCCTAGACAGTCCATCGTTCGCGAGCGATCACCTCAGCCTGTGCCAGCGCTGCCACAGAGGCAATCCTCAAACGACACCTCTCGAACAAACAAACTGATCGCACCACCGCCACCGCGACGATCAGCGTTGGACATGGGCTTCAACAACAAGGCCGCTACACCTCCACCTGTGCCTTCAACTCGCCCACCAGCAGTCACATCCGATTCAGCCCCGGCTCTTGGTACACCACCACCTGTTCCCATGTCGTCCAGACCGAACCTCAGCGCCCTCATGGCTTCCAAGCCGAAACCAGGTGCTGCTCCATCAAGTTGCCTGAAGTGTCGGGACTTCTCAGGTCCAGACAATCACGCTGCGCAGTTCCCTCGTACCCAACTTCCCAACTCAGACGTGGGCTGGCTTGCTCATCAACTATGCTCACAGTTTCCCTCACCTACAGACAAGGCTCGAGCGATCTTCACTTGGCTTCATCACAACGTCGACTACGATACTCACTCGTTCTTCAACAACACGGTTATGCCTACTACACCCGAAAAGACAATTGCATCAGGTCTGGCAGTATGCGAAGGTTATGCCGGTCTGTTCGCTGCTCTGGCTCTGAAAGCTGGGTTGGAAGCTATGGTATGTTCCGGTGCGTGCAAGGGCTACGGCCACGCACCTTTGGAGCCTGGTCAACCTACACCACCTTATGAATCGACACATGCCTGGAACGCTGTCAAGATCGATAACGGAGAATGGAAGCTCATTGATCCCTGTTGGGGAGCTGGACACTTAGGGTGTCGTAATAAGGGCGAAGGGTAAGCTTTTCGAGATGATACTTCTTTAGCAGTTCACCACCCGTCGGACAAGGGCTAACATGCACTAGATACGTACGAGCCTTCGCTCCGCAGCATTTCATCATGGACAACAACGAATTCGGACTGAAGCACTACCCCGGAGAAGCCTCTCACCAGTTCCGCACCGACGGACGCATCATGTCATACGAAGAGTTCATGCGGCATGACGAGGGCGGGCGCCTCTTTCTCTGCGGCAATGGCATGAAGCTCCACGGCTTCGGCGAACAAACCTTTGAACCATCACAAGCCAAGATCAAAGTAAACGACCCCTACGCACCAGCAGTGGTCCGGTTCCAAATGTCATTCATCTGCCCGCACTGGGATCCCCAGATCAACGGAAAGGGTCCGCCCTACATTATGCTCCTAAGCGTTGCCGGCAGGGACGGCCGGAATCCAGACTACAAGCCGTTGAATACCGACGGGCGCACTTGGTGGCTCGACTTCCCGCGCATGGACCTCGGTGCGCCGGGCCAGAAGATCTCGATTGTGGCCGTGACAGAATTTAATAAGAAGGACGCACGTGGGTTGAGCCTGGCTACTTGGAACAACAAGAGGGCGTACTCGTGTATGTTTGGCCCAGTGGCCACATGGGAGCTTGTTTGATGCGGGGCTGAGAATGTCGCGTTTATCAGTCGAGGCGCACGCGACTTGCGCCTCGTGGTTGATGGACCGCGATGACATGGAACGATTGTATGGATACCCTGGACTTTTTGATTTGCTTTTAGGTGATGAGGCGGGCTTAGTTAGATGAATACGCGTAATGAACATGAGTTATTCTTCTTTCTGCCTCCTTTTTGTGTGTACGTCATTCAAGGGAAAGCTGCGCGCGTGCCTGTCTGTGTACTATGACAGAGAGTAGATAAACCAGAAGTCTAGGTTGCTCTTACACATTGCAAAAGATCCTGCATCTCAAGCTCTTGTAGTCTATACCCCCTATTATCTTTTGTTTGTTTTCTTCCATGTGCAGGATACCTTGGCGCAACTTGTAACCGGGTGTCCCTTTTATGCTGAGCATGTGAAGACGGCCGTTGAGGCTAGACTGTGGCTGACCACTGCGTTAGCGCGAAAGCACGACCCGCGAAATAGTTAGGTTGGGGTTACAACGGACTCGGGATCACCGCTCCACCTCCAACACGTCCGATCTACCGCAAACATGGCGAGCGCTTTCGTCGGATTGTCGGTCGCGGTCACGCTGCAGTCTCCCCCAGGTGCTGTCGTCGTGGGCGTGGTCAGCGCCGTGGACCAGCAGACAGCTACACTCGTTCTCCAAGATGGTACACCGCAGCCAGAATTCATGAATATGGGCATACGCTGACGTCTGCAGTCTTCTTCCCCAACTCCGGTCACCGTGTCGCTTCCTACACGGTAGAGGGACAAATGATTGCAGACATCAAGGTCAATCCGTCGGCGCCCGCTCCTCCCCAACCTCTGCCCACGCGATCAGGCCCGCAGGCATACTCACACTCGCAGTATCCTCCGAACCATGCCCAGCGCCAGTCGCAGCACATGGGCCAACAAGTTCCGCATCTTGTTAGCCAGCCGTCCGGGATTCCGCCTGCAGGCGCACCTGCCTACCAGAATACTCGTCAAGCGCCTCGCCAGACCGCTCCTCAGCCAGCTCAAGCCGCGCCGTTTGTCGATCCTGCGATTCTCAGCATGGGAAAGCGCACTTCTACCGCCCCTATCTTGGGTGGTCCTGTTTCCGCAACCCCTCAGGAAGCCCCTGCGACGCCCATAAAGCCCGTGGCTGCTGCGAGCGCGGCGACTGTACCGAAGAACACGTCCTCTTTCGCAAGCCATGCGAAGCAACACAACGTCCGAAAGCCGAGTGCGGCGACTCTGGAAGGTCCATTCTCGTCCCTGGATATTGCGGATGCTGAGGAGGCGGACAGTGAGGCGCGGACAGCACAGGTGAATGCGCGAAGGGCAAGCATCACCAAGACGAGGACCGGCAAGCCTATGGATGACCCCAGCCCGCAGAAGAACGACGACAATGGCAAGAAGACTCGAAGAGGGGGCAAGTCTCGTAAGAAGGAACTTGCCGCTCAAGAGAGGAAGAACGGTGATGTTGAGGCGGTCAAGAAAGGGTATGTGGGATTTTGAACACCAGGTCTTCTGTCGCATGTCCAAGAGCTAACCTCTACTAGCAAAGGCAATGGTTGGAGAAACACTCCCATGCTGCAAGCCGCCGAACAGCCCCAAACGAGAACTCCTGGCGTCATTGGCGGCAGAGTCGGTCTCGCAGCGGCGAACGCGTCGAATCGCAAAACGAAACGGCAACAGGCGCTCGAAGCTACGAACGGCTGGGCTACAGAAGATGCGACCGATATTCAGGACATGCCTGAATTTGACTTCCAGAGTAACCTCTCGAAGTTTGACAAGCGAACAGTGTTCAATCAGATTAGGAATGAGGACACCACTGCAGACGAAGACCGTCTGGTCAGCTTCAATCGCTTGGCAAGACCAGGTACACACGGCGGAAAGAACCTTCATCCTACGGAAAACGTGCTGGATCGGAAGCTGAAAAGCACGACCAACACAAGCTCTGAGGAGGAAGAGGAGGACTTTGGCAGCGGACGTAACTCTAGACGGGCAATGTCCAGGGCTTCGGTTAAGATGGCACCAACAAGGCAAGGCAGCGTACAGGCCGACATGGATATGATGGGCTCAGGCGTGTTGCCGCGGACTAATCGCTCGTTCATCAACCGACCCTACACGTCCTCACATGCTACTGGTAGCCCTAGGCCAGGGCGGGTTGCTTCACCACCAGATTCACCTCTCGAGTCTAGCGCTAAGGGCTGCTTACGACTGGTGTCTAACAACCGCAAGTGCTTCGCCATCACTCCTGGTGCTATGCTGGCCGTAGAGGAAACCGCGGAAGTAGACTTCGGCCTCAACGAAGATATCATGGCAGAGAACTCAGGACGAGGTATTGCAGAAGTTGCTCTGACTGCTATAAATCCCGGAGGCATGCGTCTTTCGCGCGCCAATCCAAACGCCAACCCCGTTATCGTAGTCCTCGCAGGCAACCACCGCGGAGGCGCACGCGCAGTAGCAGCAGCACGGCACCTCGCCCAACGCGGGCCAAAAGTTATGGTCGCCCTCCTCGGCTTCGAACGCAACGCAGACTGGGACAAGGACATACGCCGCCAAGTCGAGCTCTTCCGCAAATTCGGCGGCACCGTCCGCTCCTGGAACGCGACTGAAGAAGCTCTAAAGCGTCTTCAAGCACCACCGGAACTTATTATTGATGCTCTGCTCGGCCGCCACAAAGAATTTGAAGCCCTTGGCGACCAAGACCAACGCGTAGTTCTGAACATCGTAGGCTGGGCCAACAAATCGCGCGCCGCCTGCCTTGCTGTCGAAACACCATCCGGCGTCGGCGGCTCTACGGGCGAAGTCTCCATCTTGGAAGGCGAGCCCCTCGAAGTCCGCGCAAAGTACATCGTTTGTCTCGGTGCGCCACGGACTGGTCTTGTCAAAGCCCTTCAAAACGGCTCCGGACGCGATCCGCAGTGGCTCATCTGGATCGTGGATATCGGTGTTAATCGTCCTTGGCGCAACGCTGGTATCAGTGGCGGGAAGGGTATCAAGTTCGGCGAGCAATGGGTCGTTCAAGCGGTGTTTGAGGAGCCTGGTGGTATACCGGGGGCTTAGGATACCGAGGTATTACCAGCTGAAGAAACAGAAGAAGCAGAGCTGAGCCCAGCAGAGCGAGAGCGAAGACAAAAGCATTATTTTGTGACGCAAACTAAAAGACTTATGGGGAAACAGTGGAGGAGTGGGTTTGACTGAGTGTGGCGGAGATGGAATGGGTTGTTTTTGCATTGCGTGGGCGTTTGAGGTATTGATATGTGGGAGGGCTTTGGATGCTCTTTTGCTTGTATTCGGGGTTGGGGATAGGATGAATTAACGGCATTATGGATTGGGTTGGGATGGAATGGGGATACCAAAAGCTAGATATCGTTGAGTAAGAAGTAGTCGGGAGGCAGTGGTGTGCGTGGATAGCATGCCACGGTAATACATTACTTGAAGAATTGTGTGTCCGTCATTTATGTGAGAAACTACGCATGCCACGACCTAGTCTTATCGTCCAAACCCGTAACAAACCCAACAACCCTCCTCACAAGATCCTGCACAACCTCCTCCGGATCCCCATCAAGATTATGATGTGCACCCGGTATCACACCCCCATCTTGATCATCCACAACACCGCCGTTTTCCCGTATTATTCTCGTCCAGCGTTGGAGGAGGGCTGCGCGGTCGATGCTCCCGGGGACGTAGGGGTCATCGGAGCCGAGGAGGAAGCAGACGGGTGTTGTTGGTGGTATGCGGCCGAACGTTGTTGCGAAGTGTTCGTCGGAAAGGTCGCTGGAAAAGTAGTCGTCGTCGCCGCCTTTGGCGAGCAGGGAGTATGCGCGGTAGGCGTTCAGGGGGCCGCCCATATCTTTGAAGACGGGATTGCTTTCCGGCGATAAAACCTCCTCCCCCTTCCCCGTGTCAATCATGACCTTCGCCGTCGCAATCGCGTTGTCGAGCTGTTTCCTCCTCTCCCCTTCTTTGTAATAATCTTCCCAAGCCTCCCTGTCACTAACACCTCCCTGTAGTATTATGCCGTCTACTTTGTGCCTTCCCTCTGCTCCCTTTCCAAGCAAGTATTCCATGATATCCTGACAGCCTGTCGAATGCCCCATAAGCACAATTCTCCTCTCCGGCCGCATTTTCTTAAAATATGCCACGCATTCCCCTAGTTCAGTCGCGTCGCGCGCTAGGCTGCCGGTGCCCCAGCCGCTGTAGGAGGAGGTGAGGAGGACTTCGGCGAGAGACCAGGTTGGTGGGAGGGAGGACGCGATGAGCGAGGGGTACGGAACCGTGAGGAGGCCGTCTGTAAGACCGCCTATCCAGAGGATGGTGTTGTAGGAGGACGAAGGGTGCGTGGAGGCGTGTTCGAAGGCGATGAGGCCTTTGGTGTATTTGTGGGCGGTGCCTGGGTGCGCCATCTTCGCGTTGATGTTATTTTATAGGATATGGACGCGGGGCTTGATATCTTGAAATAAGTATTCCGAAGTTGAGCAATGCGTCGCGGAAATTGAGAGATGAGACGAATGGCGTGAGGACGCGATGGCTGAAGCTCGACGCGACGGGTTGGTGGGGGTGTAGATCAGAATCTTATCAGATGGTGGGGTAGCTTCGAAGCGTCCATGCCGAATATACTCCGCAAGCCCCGACTGCCCTTCCAGTCTGGCAGCCATGCACATAGCTCTTGCTTTCCCATTCTCTCATCGTGGTATTCAGCCCAGTTCAAGCCGAGCCAGGTCGCCTTGGTCCTTCGTGACTTTCAATTGCCGCTTTCGAAGATGCGCTCTCCATGTCGGATCGTCTTCGTTTGTCAATTTGCCCAAGTTACGTATAATATCTATCGTCAGTCCCGTATTTGCTGCTGCTGCTCTTGGATTGTGAGGCGAAGCACCCCAGAAGCTTTTGAGATATTTGATTTGTACCATTGTTTTACAATGCTCGCAATGTACGCGATGGGTTTTGTGCCGCTTTTCTGCTTTGAAGGCTCTGGTCTCGGCATCGACAAGCCGGTTCATGGTGCTTTCCTCAGAGGTATGTATGTGAAGACACGCCGTAAAATCGAGTGTTTGTAGGACCGCACGCGCTTCTGTGTGTAAATCCGAGCCTTTTGCCTTCGAAAAGCCCATGGTCATGTCACTTCTCATGATATAGTCTCCAGACGTCTAATCGTATGTGACGTCACAAATGGTGAGGTAGATGTGGCTTTTCTTCAACTCTGTTTCGCAAGTATAGCACTGGAGATCAAGGTATATGGCCTTTCTACCCCTAAGAGATACAGCTCTTTCTACCTCAGCTCTCAAGTAGTCCAAAGAGTAAGACCTGTGCGAGCACAGCTCGAGTGTAGAGGAGCATTTGCGTTCCTGCCGTGGGCGACAGAGCATTTTCCCGATGAAGCGCGTATCTTTATGGACATCTGCACAATAGACGCACCAGATGCCCGGTCGTTTGTGGGCTTCTCTGTAGAAGTCGTCTCTCAGAAGCCGAAGATAGACGTCGATCTTGGTATCGCCGACTTTATCTTCTGGAACAGTGATGGATGGGAAATTTTCGATGAACTTGGCGCCTGACAGCGCAAAGCAAATCTTCTCGGTGTGATCCAAGTACCCCCGGATATGGGCTAGGACATCGTAAGGAAGGGCGTATAGTGGACTTCTCTTTGCATTGATTTTGTAACGTTCCTCAGCGCACGAAATGGACAGCTGAGACATGATTGCTGAGGGAGGCAAGTAGTGACTGTACGTGTGAGGCTACATTAGATATTGAGATTCTTTCAGGTGTGTGTGTGCGAGTTCATGTGGCTCCGCACAAACTTCGTGGTAGCGAAGGTACCATAGCCAGTCGATGGCTGAGGCACTCAAGGCGTGTGCCATTTATTAACACTCTGGGCACCGTCCCATACCTGCGATGGCGACCAAATGGTAGGAATGAGTGCGTCTCGCCATCTCCTTCATAAACGCAAGGGCTTTGTGCCCAGTTGACGATCATCACGGCGGCAATCGGTCATTCATGCCCAATGTCGTATTGTTGGGTAATGAGCTCTGGGCACATAGGTGAGGTCCGATCGTCGAGTACCGAGAGCGAAAAAGCAAGCATGGCCGCATACAAGAGCTCCAGCCCCCGGACCTGTCCCATATGAGGCTTTTCGTAGTCGTCGATGCTTGGTGTAGGAGTGGTCGGAAGACCGAAACTTGGTACGGGATCACCCAGAAGAGGAAGCCGGCACCTATGTTTGCTGACATCTCGGGGTTCGGGGGAAGGAGCGACCCCACAGAAACGCGAAGCTACCCCTCACGCATCTGCGCAACCCCACTTAGAGCACTGGAGCTCTCCAAATGCCTGGAAACAAGACGGAACGCGGACGCGTTTCCGTGTGGCCACAGGCTATGTCGGCATATGTCAAATGACACGAAGGAATGGTGGAATGATTGCTTGTCGTCGGGTCGGGTATTGAAGGTTTCTTGGTCTTTCGTCATGCCACTTTTGCGATTTCCATCCGCTCTGTGTTCCGTCGTTCTGCACCAATTCGCGCACTCCATTGAGCTGGACATATAGTAATCACAATGTCATGTATGCATTCCCATCAAAACCTATGCGATCAAATAGTTAACGTACTCAGCGAGACACTTCATCCACGACCCGACACACCTCGTCAACACCGCGCTGCTCAGCATCCCTCAGACGAACCCATCCGTACAATGCGACATCAACAACAAGATCGTCTACCGCAAGAATGGCGCATCGCAAGTCAGCATAGTTTCCGGAGGTGGTAGTGGTCACGAACCCTCATTCGCATCCTTTGTCGGCGCGGGCCTTTTATCCGGAGCAGTCGCAGGTACCATCTTCGCTTCGCCAAGTGCAGAGCAGGTGCGAAGATGTATCTTGCATCGCATTCAAAAAGACAAGGGCGTCCTCGTGATTGTAATGAACTACACTGGCGATGTGCTGAACTTCGGCATGGCGGTGGAGAAAGCGCGCGCTGCTGGTATTGAAGTCGACATGGTGGTGGTCGGCGACGATGCGGGTGTAGGGCGCGCAAAGGGAGGAAAAGTCGGGCGCAGAGGTATTGCCGGAACAGTGCTGGTTCAAAAGATTGCTGGAGCGCTCGCTGCTAAAGGGTACGGACCGCACCAATTTCGTGCCTGTCAGGACGATGATCACTGACGTCAGCGTAGAGCGAGTCTCAAAGACGTAACGCAGATGGCCCAGCTCGTTGCAGACAACACCGTCTCGATCGGCTCTTCACTGGCTCACGTCCACGTGCCAGGTCGCCGAGAGGCAGAGGAAGACGAGCTGGCTGAAGGCCTAGTCGAGATTGGAATGGGCATCCACAATGAAGCCGGTTCAGAGCGCAAGAAGATCGATTTACCTGGTCTTGTAAAGACGATGCTGTCGCACTGCTTGGACGTCGCCGATCAGGACCGAAGCTTCTCCAAGATCACCGACAAGGACGACGTGGTGCTACTGGTCAATAACCTGGGAGGTGTCAGTCCACTCGAGCTAAGCGGGATCACGAACGAAGTCGTCGAGCAACTCGCAGACAGCTTCAAGATCAAGCCAGTACGTATTCTAGCTGGCACCTTCATGACCAGTTTGAACGGACTGGGCTTCTCCATCAGCTTGCTTAGAGTCGCGGACGCTTCCATGCTCGAGCTGCTCGATGCGCCTGCTGAGGCAAGTGGCTGGTCTGCGGCGATTAGTAGCAGCACATGGGCGAGACGCGGCGAAGCGAAGAAAAGCGAGGAGCAGGTAGACGAAGAGGACATCCAGCCAAGTGATCTGAGAGGTAAGTACCTGCAGAGCTGCGTATGACACCCGCTAACTTGAGTAGTCAACTATGCTCAGGCCAAGTCAACCTTGACAGTTGCGCTGAACAGACTCATCAAGGCTGAGCCAGACGTCACCCGATATGACACAATAGTTGGAGATGGCGACTGCGGAATCGGACTCAAGCGCGGCGCAGAAGGTAGGCTATCATCACGTGTGCATTGATGCCTGGCGCTGACACCCAACAGCAATTCTCAAGATGCTCGAAACGGCAAAGGAGACAGATGATCTGCTGATCCTCATGAATCACATCATTCAAGTGGTGGAACTGGCTATGGACGGCACGTCAGGTGCAATCTACGCCATCTTCTTGAATGCGCTGGCGCATGGATTGCGACAAAACGCGCCCTCGTCGCCACAGCCTGTCACACCCGCAATCTGGGCCAAGGCCCTTGACTCATCGCTCAAGGCACTGGGCAAATACACTCCTGCCAAACCCGGTGACCGAACGCTGATGGATGCCCTCTATCCGTTCGTTGAGACGCTGTCTAAGACGGAAAGTATCGACAAAGCGGCTGCGGCGGCACAAGGTGGCGCGCAAGGGACGAAGGGTATGAAAGCGAGCTTGGGGCGAACGGTCTACGTTGGAGGCGAGGGTTTCCAAGAGGTTCCAGACCCTGGCGCGCATGGCCTCGCGGAGCTCCTACTGGGCCTGAGTGACGGTTTGAAGAAGTAGAAGTTGGGGTATCGTTGTTTGATTCGTTCGGTGTTCCTCGCCGATTTCGCGACGGTTATGTAACTTTTAATTCATTCCAACTCCATTTCGTGCGCTCGATCTGGCGCTACCGTCCCAAATCCCCAGTCCTTCCAAGCTCTTATGATAGCAATACAAGAATTACCGAGTCGCCGCGTAGGAACCTATAAAAGTCAGCGCATGCGCAAATGTAGAGTGTAATTTGAACGCACAGCTTGGAGATGAAGCGGTCCTTGTTGACCTTCCTTCCGTAGCTGCCGTTGGCTAACCGTGGAGTCTCGGTCCACATCTCTTTCGCGTTCTCGAGAACCATGTTGCAATGACGGTCGAAAGCCTTGACACGTGCGAGGATCTTGCGGTTGTTTCGGCACGAGATCAGGACTTGTGTGCGCGAGCGGACGGCGGTCTGGAGGATGGAGAGGGGGCCGGTAGTGAGCTCGTGTTCTTCGACCTGAGCAACTTCGTACTCGCTAGGCAGCAATGTCAGTACAGGAACTGTTGTGGATTGGAGGGTGTACGTACGTCAACTCCGAACGCGGCTTGGACAGAAGCTCTCTGCGCAAGGTTAGCTCATATAGCGGTGAATGTGCTAGCAGTAATACATACTGAATCTTTGCGTCCACCATGGTGTCGTTTTGTGCAAGGTAGCAGGGGGGGATTTGCTATATGGGGTTGGGACTGTTACAGGTTAACTTTCCAGCTCTCGAGCTTCTGCCTGCGAATTTTGATACACGCTGCTCAGGGAAGTAGCGCGCAAGGATGGGGCCGCGCAAAAGATATGCACAGACCAGGAGCGGAAAGACTGACCTAGTTTTAGAAAGGAGGAACACCACGGCAACGCGCTTGGATGAGGTGGATCGGTCGGCGACGATATGAGGCAGGGCGATGAAGTGAGCGAGCTTGGCAGAATCGGATCTGGAGCTACACTTTATCCGCGGTCGAAGCCAATCAACGCGTCGGGAGTGGGGCTGAAACTTTGGCACGGAAGGTGCGTCACGCGTCTTTGTCCTCCCCGCGTTAGCGCGAAGCGGGTAGCGTCAAACCTCCGAGCTCGTGCATGCAACTTCACTTTCACCACACGACCTCTTTCACGACGCCCTCTACGTTCCTTCTCTCTGCCACTTTACGCGTGCTGTTGCCTAATGCGGATTTATCTACACGCGAAAATATTTAAAGACCCGTTTACCCCGCCAATTCGTCTTCCTGTCGCTTTTAGTCTCGCTTCTTAGTTCACCTCGAACGCGTTCGCGATGATCGCACGCCAGCCACCGATCGCGATATAACATAGACCACCCCGTCGCCCCCGACAACCTTCTTCTCTCTTCTTCATCACGGCCCGCCTATCCTTTGTCAATCTCATAGGCAGCCATGTCGACGCCCTCAAGTACCACGCCGGATCCTGGTGCGATGCAGCACGCGCCCACACCGTCCGCTGCCGAGGAGAGCACAATGGACGAAATCCCGCGCAGGCAAATGCGAGGCAAGCACATCTGCTCATTCATCACGACTTGATCTAACACAGCTGCACCACAGTCAAAGTACTTTACACGTTCGATGATCAGAACAAGTCAAACTGCCTGGCCCGTCTGCCAAGCGTGCTGAACGTGCCTGTCGTATCGCTGGACGAGACCACCGAAGTGGGAGTCATCGAACTCAAGACCTGCATTCAGGCTATTGTGACTGCAAGGTGGGCCGACTCCTGCGCTTATTGATTAATTGAAACAGCTTGCTCACTGTCACAGCCCCGAGCTCGTAGCCAAACTAGGCCACGACTACACCGTATACGCTTACGACTTCTCCGAGTACGAAACGCCGCTGGTTGGTCAGGGCATGCTATCATGGATCCTCGCTTCAGCATCGCCGACTCCCAATGCCCCCGCCAAAGATTCCCAAACCATGGTCACCGGTCGCGTGTGCAAGAACATTCTTGGCATCTTTTCGAACGGAATCAAGGAAACCCTGGAGGTCAAACTGAAGCTGGTGCCTGTTCCGACATGCATGCAAAAGGAATATGTCGAGAACATGGAGCGGTACCACAGCCTCAGTCAGCTGATGCCTGAAGGGTTCGATTACAACGCCTGGTCCGACTTTCTCAAGGAGAACCCTGCATTGGGTCACCTGGCCCAACCCAGCCCATACCCCGCACAGCCTTCGCCACGTCCTTCCATTGGTGGTGTTGAGCCCTTCCACCAGATGCTTACTCGCCAAAGCCCGTCACAAGAGCCACCCCGGAACGACTCTTTCTACGATCAGTCGAACATGTCGTTCATGTCTCAGCCGACTAGGGCTTCCAGTCCTGCTATGAGCACTCTCTCATTCCATCACTATCAGTACAATCCACCCTCCCGACCAGCGTCACGGACCTCTGTCAGAAGTGAAGGTGCACAGCCGACTCAGCAGTTCCAGTTTAGCGATCCTTATGTCATCGAGCCACAGGAAGACGGACCTCCGAAGAAGAGGGCACGGATTACGCAGACCACGAGACCGAGGAATACACCGCTCAACGCCCACAATGATTCGCTGCGCGTTACAGCGAGCACAGCGGCATCCGTCCGCCTACTCAAGCCTTCTCTCAGCAATTCAGGAGCCGCCTCAGATATGGTGCCCCGTGCGCCAACGCCTCGCCCCGGTGAAAAGTTTAGTCAACGAGGATCACGCCGACCACCCGCCCCTAGTGCTTTAAGACATGGATCCATGGATGGAGGACGACCATACGTGTCTCCGTATGAGAGTAGCGTCTTCTCAGACAATGCGATGGAGTCTGCAGATGAAAGAGATGGAAGCCCAGGAGATACTCCGATGCCGTCATCCCCGCCAATCGCACCAGTCCGAACCACATCGCCCGATGCCTCAAGCCCTGACCTCCCAACACAACCTCCAAACGATTCCGGTTTCGTTAGCGACATGCCGGCTAGTCGAGACGGCGATAGTATGGATTTTGAAAAGCTTTGGAATGGACAATCCCAGGATCATCGTCGCGAATCTGTCACACAGCCAGTCACGCAAAGTATTGAGATGGACATGACTGCTCATACTTTTGACTTCGACACCATGGACCAGGATATCTTCAACTCGGTTTATTTCCAAGGCAACGACGCGAATGATGACAGCGATTTGATCGCGAGGCTGTCCATGGTACAGCAGGATGACAACCTCGAGGACAAGAACGCTTTACAGAAGTCACGAGCCACGGTATCGACTGCCGGCTCGCCTGATGGCATGATGTCACACATTTCTCCGACTGCCGAGAGCGAAGCGCAAGTCTACAGTCGTTCCGCTACCCCAAATCTCCCACCGAAGCAGACAAAGCCGTCCAAGCCGAGAGGACTTCCAAGATCACATACATGGTCTGGAGCAGAGCCCATGTCTGATGCGCCCACGCCCTCCGAGTGTGGCTACCCACGAAGTGGATCCGGCGCGAAGAGGAAGAGGGTTATCAAAGACCGGCTGGACGCGGCTATTCGGAAAGGCGAAATGCCACCACACTGTGTGAACTGCGGAGAGATCGACACAGTCACATGGAGAAAGGCCTACACACGCGTAGAGAATGGCACACCTAAGGACATTGAGCTGTCTACCGATACTGCTAGCACCGACATCATCGCATACGAAGTGATTGAATCATCCTCTGAGGACGCTGAGCCGAAGTACCGTATCTTCAAGAACAACTTGACGCGCGAAGACAAGGACATCATGGCTGCGAAGTCTTCTGAGGCATTTGAAGAACTCAACCTCTGTAACCCATGCGGACTCTGGCTTATCAAGAAGTTTTCGATGAGGCCGCAGAAGGTATGGGATCGTGCTGCGCGTCTCGCCAATCGCAAGAGGCAGCAGAAGGCGGGGTCACGCTCCAAGTCTATGACTGGTGGTGATGATCTCATGTCCGACGCCATGATGCCAGAGTCTGACGCTGCTATACCAGCTGAGCAAGATCAAGCTGCTTCATCCATTGACAGGCCCGTTGATGGAACAATGGCACCGCCAGCTGTCGCACCCAGCAGGGGTGAGCTCGACCCTGAAGAAGCTAAAGCTGCCTTCGAGCGAGCCATTGAGTCAAGCCCCGCTGGCGTTAGAGGGAGCAAAACTTCTCCTATTGACATTGACCAAGACCTTACACCAAAGCCTACAAGGCGGCTACTTTTCCCATCACCTAGAAAACAAGGTCGGCGTAAGACGCTAGCCGACCCACCTCCAGCCCCCGTCGCTGCGGCTCCAATTGCCACCCCAATGTATGTCCCTGACGATGACGCACCCAAGAAGCCCCGTTGCCAGCGATGCAAGGAGCTTAAGAGAGGCTGTGACCGCGAACGACCGTGTGGACGTTGCGCGAACGCTGGTATAGGACACGACGGCTGCATTCCGTGCGAGTCAAAGACTATGTGGTACTTCAAGCAGCCAGTGGCGCAAGTGGCCATCGTCGACCAAGAAAATCCGGATAAGGAGAACTGCCCACCACCTCCTGCCGCAGAGACAGACGATCTCGCACACCTTTTTGAAGACCCTGCTTCTCGGAAACCTACGCCAAAAAGCACGCCTAAGAGGGACCAGATCGCCCAAGATCCTCTAAAGACCCCTACTCCAAGCACGCGCAAACGTGTTGCTCTGACGCCGAGACGAGGTGCAGGGAACGGAGAGGCGCCTTCAACGCCATCCCGCAATATCCTGAGTCCTCGTGTCACCCGTTCGACAACAGCTGCACCTGACACACCGTTCACCCGCCAGCTCAATGCGCTTCTATCCGACCACCCGATCTCGTCGCCTTCCCAGACTATCGACTTCTCGGCTTTTCCCACATTTACAACACCCGGTCGCAGTGATGCTCAGTTTAGCGAGTTCCTGGCTGATGACTTTCTGTCCAGTGACATGCCTGTGAGCAGCTCGCCGTCGAAGAACGGCTCACTCGGACTGGGCTTTGACCTCTACGAAGACCCCAACACTTCTACTGTGGGCCTGTGGAGTGGCGATAACATATTCGACAACGAGACCATGATGTTGGACATGGAAAACGGCTCTAAACGCGGAAGTGTTGACGGAAATGCCGGTCCGGATGCCTCTGCATTACTCAAGATGAACGTCGGTGGCATGACTGTCGACTTCGCCGCCATGATCGAGGAAGTCGTTGGCGCTGCCAACAAGGAGGCAGATATCAACGAAGTCACGAGCAAAATCCTAGACGCTAGTATCAAGCTTGAGCCCAAGAGCCCAGAGGACGAGAGGGAGGATATGGGGAAAACACCCGAAGAGCCCACGGTTTGAGGCTGAGGGACATTCACGGCGTTCACGATTCTGCATACCCCTTGTCACACTTTGTGACTTTAACGGCGTTTAGCGATTTGCAATAACACGGCACGAACACATGAGGAATGATTGGCTTTTTGTATACTAGTCCATAGATGGTTCAGCAAGCCTTGCTTCCAGCAGGCAGGCTGCGAACGAACAACGAGCGTGGAACGCGCGTCTTTATATACCCAATGAATACTTTAGATTAGACACTCTTGCTTTTCCTCAGCGGAGTGTACATGTCACCTGAAGTGCTGGCTTGCTTGGTGCGAGGGCAGAACCGAATAGATACCCCTTGTGCTTCGAAAGCATTCCCAACCTCTTTAAGAACCTTCGAAAACGCCCTCCACAACTTCGATTCATGTGTGGTGTGTCGCAACACACGTACCCCTTTAAGTAGCGGATACTTCTGCGCACAGTCCATAGCTAGACTCATCAGTGCAGCCTTCGGACACCTAAAGTACGGCCATGTTGGTTCGTACATATCGAGGTCAAGCCGACGTATACCAGGCGGAAGGGAGTTGAAGATTTCGTGCTGTTGCCGGTCCGAGTTCGTTGTTTCGTCGCGATATAGGGTTACTATATCCGTTCTGAGGTACTCAAGGTTGCGGACTTGTTCTAATCGTAGGCATCCTGCCGCAGCTGTATTGTATATGTTGGGCTCGTGCGACAGTCTGGTCTGCAGAGTGAGGCTCTCCAACGATTTGGAATGCTCCATGATAGCTCCAAGTAGGGTAGGATAGTGTAACGCTGGTACTCCGTATCCGTTGTGTTCGTAGATGGCTCTGCTTATTGAGGGTTCGGTTCTGGTTCCGGCGAACGTCAAGCCGAAGTCTTTGAGGTTCTTGATACAGCGCAGGATCATGGCGACATGCTTCGAGTGGATAGCGCTATTCTCGATGTGGAGATACTCGATAGGTGAGCTTCGTGGCGGGATCGTTGCCAGCTGTGCGCATCGTGCCAAGGAGGGATTCATCGGTCGAACGACTCCGTGATTGAATCTGTCCCTATCCACGAGTTCGCCTTTGAAGCTCAGTGTACGTAGAGCTGGTAATCGAAGGGCATACAAAAGCGCTTCTAAGTCCACGTCTTGATGGCCAAATCGTAGCGTACGTATGTTGGCGAAGCGCTCGGTAAGTCTGGGATCGGGGTATCGCCTCAGCGTGGACCATAAAGATGGCCCGTATTTGCCGTCGCTCATGCGAAATCGGAAATCCGTGTCCATAATTTCCAGGGCTTCTACCCGTGGAGTGAGCACCAAGACTAGAGTTAGTGCGGCACATTTATCCCTCCAGTCGCTAGACTTCCAGTGCGACGGGATATTGGATGTTTTGAATACCTGTGCGAGATTTGGTGTACTCAACGGACCCGACAGCGTCCTGTACCATCCTGGAGTTTCGCTTGGCCTTTTGTCCCATACGAGTCGCTTGATGTGTGTGACTAGAGTGGGATCGTCCTCTAGACGCTGAACGAGCTTTCTGCAATGAAAGTGATCGGTCTCGATGGTTTTGTAGAGGTAAGACTCTGTGAGTCGATTGAACTGGCGGCTGGTAGCGGATAGAGAGAGGAGAGTCTGTATGGTGCCGGGGACGTATTCTTCATCGATGCCGGAGCCGACTTCGTCTAGGATTCCGCAAAGGAGTTCTTCGGGAAAATTGCTCAGGCTGCACTTAGACAGCTTGGAGTTCGACATGATGAAAGAACAGGGGTTCTGTTCTTGACTTCTTGAGATTGCGGATGTATTATGGCAGTTTTGCTTAATGGTGGTGACCGAGAGAGGGGTTTGTGAGTTGTGAGATGGATAGGTATGAAGTAGAAGTAGAGAGTATTTATAGGGGAAAGTCTCTTACAAAGTTGTCACATAAAATTCTGCTCATATGACCTACATGAATATTCAAACTTTGGTTGTGTGGTCGGATGTCAAACTGCCGTCTTCTTACTGGTACTTTGAAGTTCCTATGGAAGCGATGAGGGAAACGTCTGGAATGAACAGAGTGCGCCATTAACTCAGACTGCAGCCTGGTCCTAGTTCAGATTAGTCATCAAGAGTGTACTTTGGTAAACGTTATGATTGAGATAGCTTTGGTGTTGTTTGCTGGGGTGTCCGGCGTGTCACCGCAGTACCGTGGTTATAGGAAAGGTCCACCATGCTGGGCTAAGTCGAAATCCTCTGCGAATGACAAGATCCTGTTCATGGCAGACGCTTAATTTTCGTCAGTCAACCAAAGTACATCCTGATACAGGTCGCAGGGTGTGTAAAATAGGTATGCCCGCACGCTAACTTAGGAAAAACCTAAGCACCCTAGAACCTACGTTGACGTTAGGCCACTTACATTGCAGGTCTTTGTCTTGATGTAGTCCGCAGGCCTGTTGAGTTTTTTTCTTGTATGAGCGCCCAGGTGCCCGGGCAGATCGAACCACGTGATGGCGTTGCCTAATCGCGTTTGGTGACGTAAGTCTTGGCAGGGTATGTGGAGCCTTCCAAGGTTGCGCTCACAGACCTCAATCACGACACACAGGTTGAGTGTTGGCACACGCGGGAAACTCATCAAGTAATCTTGTTATGATTCATTCTTTTGTTCGAGCGATGGCTTCGAAATGGGCTCTCTATCAAATGCGCTGGAATACATACAATGCGACCGTCATTCGTTCATCATCACCACCTCAGTCTCAGCTTACTGCGATGATCCACCGGAGATGGTCAGCACTTGACCGTTGACCCAGCCACCGTCCGCTGATGCGAGGAAAGCGACGACCCTCGCAACATCCTCAGGTACGGCACACCTTCCAAGCGGGCAGTGGTTTGCCATGAGAGTCTCGATCTTCTCCGCTGGCCAGTCAGGCGAACCGCCGGGGATGTAATGCCAGGCGTTCTGTGTGAACATGTCCGACTTGATACCTCCTGGTGCAACACCGTTGACGGTGATGCCACGCTTTCCGAAGTCGGTCGCGAATGCCTTGATGAAACCGATGACGGCCATCTTGGAGGCGTTGTAGAGCGCGTGGTCCTTGACACCGAGAAGACCGGCAGCAATGGAGCTCATCAAGATGATGCGGCCGTTGTCCTCGATGTGCTTGTATGCGGTTTGGCCAACGAAGAATTGCGCTCTTGTGTTCAGGTTGAATACGTGGTCGTACTTCTCCTCGCTGATCTCCTCTGTCACGTCCCAGCTCTCGGTTCCTGAGTTGCTCATGACGATGTTGATTTTTCCGAATGCCTTCTTCGCCTCCTCGAATAGTCTGTTGATCTCACTGACTTTGCTGACATCGGCCTTGATGGCTACGGCTTTGGCACCGTTGTTGAAGCCCTTGATGATTTCGCAGACCTCGTTCGCTGGGCCTTCGGATGAAACGTAGTTTACGATGACGGAGGCGCCGCGCTTGCCGAGCTCGATAGCACAACCCCTTCCAATACCGCGACCGGCACCGGTGATGAGAGCGACTTGTCCCTCGAGGGAGGCGGTGGGAACGTTGATGACCATTTTGACAATGTGTTGGTGTGTAGTTGATTATGGGACGGTGGATGATGGAATATAGAGCTTCAAGGTAGAGAGCTTGAAGATGCTGGAGTGGTGGGTGAAGATGGACTGGGTATACTGATTATCTTTCTCATCTTGCGCTGCCTCTTTATAAACATCTTGAGCATTCAGTCTCAGCATTGAAACAAATGGTGTTCACGGTATGCGGGCACGGGCGGGGATCCGAAGAAACGAACACCGAAAATAGCTGCTTCAGGGACCTGCGGCTCTACACCTTCGCGCCCGAAGCTCTGGTCGTTTTAGCTACACACAGCTAAACCTGCCGGTAGACTCTGCACTCCCGTTTCGAAATGTCGTGGATGAAGTGCCGGCTGTCGTGCGGACGTCGGAAGGGGGAGGGGCCATGGTTGACCCCCGAATGAGGGTGTTCAGATTTGCCATGGAGATGCGAGACGAAGTCCGGCGTCGCAAGCTCTTCTATTCATACCATCGGTCTTGTCCATAAGCGTTTACACTGCTATCAGGTGCGACGTCGAAGTTCGAGTTTCTTCGCAGCTAAGCTCTGATCGTCGGCACGATGCAGGGCGCATCAGCGGATCTACCCATGGCGCAGGTACCACTGCCAGTTTGACGGACTTTGCCATTGCCCTGCAGCGTTCGCGGACGACGTTTGCAACCGTTTTGTCGAAGAAACGGCCATGCGAAAACAAAAATGAAAGCGCAGAGGTGTTGACGCGAAGGATGAGGCGGTGACTGCCTGCCACGGGCTTCGGACTTATTGGTAGCGCACGTCACTGTCTGCCCCTCTGCATCTCCATCTCCAATCCACAACACAGCATCGCCAGAACCCGCTGCACTGTCCACATAAGCAATCATGCATATTCTTGTAAGACTGTCGTACCTTACTAAGCCAATGGCAAGTACTGACCGATGTAGGTCACCAACGACGATGGCCCGCCATCAGACCAGTCCTCACCCTACGTACATTCGCTGGTGTCAACACTGCAGAAGCATGGACACACCGTTTCAGTCGTTCTCCCACATACCCAGCGGTCATGGATAGGCAAGGCACATCTTGTGGGCAAGTCGGTATGACACACCACTTCTGCTACGCCGCTCGCTATACTCACTGCCACAGATACAACCGACGTACTACCGCCCTGCGCCCCTCCAAACCAACGCCGAAGGACGTCTCACGAACCATGGCACAACCCATAACTCGCCTTTACCGCCCTCATCCAACGAAGAAGAATGGGTGCTCGTCGACTCCACACCCGCATCGTGCGTACAGATCGGTCTCTACCACTACTTCTCCGACCGCGGCCCAATCGATCTCGTAGTCAGCGGCCCGAACTACGGTCGCAACAGCACCGCCATCTTTTCTCTATCATCGGGCACAATAGGCGGCGCGATGGAGGCAGCAGTGTGCGGCATGAAGTCGATCGCCCTCTCGTACGCCTTCTTCGACCGCAACCACGACGCTAAGATCATCAGCGACGCCAGCGAGCTCAGCGCGAAACTCATACAACACCTGTGGGACAACTGGGACACAAGCACACACCTCTACACCGTCAACGTACCGTTAGTAGAGAACGTGGGAGAGCGCAAGATCCTCTGGACAAACATGCTGCAGAACTCATGGAAGAGCGGAAGCTGTTTCCAGGTCGTCGAAGTACCCTCCGAAGCAGACGACACACCCTCAGACATCGAAGGCCAGATCCGCAAGCAAGAGGAGAAGTTCGGCAAGAAGGAGCTCAAGGCGAACTCGGAGATACAGGGCGGCGCGTCTGGCACGGACAGTGGGCGGGAGACCCCTTCGGGCCAGGCGCATATGCGGTATACACACAAGCACTTCAAGTGGGCGCCGACGTTCAAGGACGTGTATGAGAGCGTTGAGGCTAGCGAGCCGGGCAACGATGGATGGGCGGTTGCGCAGGGATACACGAGTGTGACTCCGTTACGCGCGAACTTCATGCATGTGAATGGGTTCGAGGGAGAGATCAAGCTTGGTGGTGGCTCTTCTTAGACTTGGAGTCCTGATAATACAGTCAATCGGAAGTGGGTATGTTAGTGTCAATACATAGACACAGGCAGCTCAGACTCTGGAGTCACCCCTCTGATTCACATCTATTAGTCCGCAATCCAGTCATATCATCAGCACAGTCCGTGCTGACTTTTCGATGAAACGAAATGCAGCATCACTCTTCACTCATACGAGTACCTTGAAAAAAACATACCTTTGAGTAACCAAAGCTCTTGAAAAATGAGCGGTCCTTACATTTACGATATGACGAATGAGCCGCAGAACCATCAACTGGACATCGAAGAGTCCTCCGCTTCCACGAACTGCGAGCAGGTTGACGACATCACAAAGAGGGCCCGGAAGCTTACCGAACGTCGCGTGGACAAGTTCACTAAGATCTTGCGCCGTTTCGATAAGACTAATGGGCCGGCATACACTCGCCTTCAAGAGGAGCTCGATTGTTTCAAAAAGTGGGCAAAGGACACTGGACTGTACCAGCACGAGGAGAACAGGCCAAAGCACGATTTTCGTAACCTTCCTCCCGTTGCAAAATCATCGATTATCGACTCACTCGAAGATGTTAAAGACCAAATATACCTCATGCGCCTGACCGACCTCGGCAAGAAGCGGTCCCGGGAAGAAGGACCCCATGAGCCCCTACCTCGGCCTTTTCTGGACCTTTGGATCGATGGAATGAGCTGCATCATCGTCAACCTGGAACTATCAGTCGATCTGGAAGACGAGTCGAACGCCAGAAGAGGCGAGACGAGTCCTTGTCTTAAGACGCTTTTCCGACGCTGTGCAGCCGGATACACGATAGTTTTCAAACGTATCAATGAAGGAAACTCGAGTCTGGAGGACAAGCTACCCACCGGACATATTAAAGGCCCGCGTAACAGCTTCATCAGATGGAGCCGTGAAAGCGGAGTTCTTCTTGATGGCAAGAGCTCTCTAGAGACCAAATTCGTCGACTCGGACAAGAGCGAGAGCAGGAGTCAAATCGTCAACAGCCTGTTGAGTATCGAGTCGGCCTTGGGAGCGATGTCTGGGTTACTACCGGAGAAGCGTGTTTCGGGAAAGGATCTTCCGGCAGCAGATGCAGACGAGAATTCGAATTCGAACCTTAGCCTTACCGAACGGGCGAAAGGCTTGACAGAGCAAATAATGGTACTCCAACGATGTAACGAATCTCTGGCGAAAGCCACAAAAGCTCTTGTTGGTTGTTCGATCGGATCGAACGGCTCTAACGCGGGGGCTGTAGATAATACTGCAACAGATACTTGACGATGAAAGAAGGGTGTGGCATCGATGAGAGAATGACCAGCAGCGGAAGCGGTGGGGATACAAGAGAGCCTATATCTAATGAATCATTACTGCTGGTATATGATGTTAATGTAGACGGGTTTGACGGAGAAACTGAGTCGAACTGGTCACCATGAGGTTAGATATAACAAGATCTGTGATTCATTCATAGAGGAGCCTACGGTGCGAGATTTTTAGAGTCAAGCTTCTGATTCATGACGACTGCAGATGAGTACAGACTGGTCATACATACTTACTGCACAGTCATTGTAGGTATTTAAGAAGATGAATAGCCGCATAGACTTTCCGCTCTCACCAATACTTCCGAAATACATCTTTCTACGATGGCTCGCTTTCCAAAACCACATCGAATCAGCCCGTACGATAAAGCAGACCATAACGATGAGTACCAATACGAAGCTAGGGAGGGAATTCAGTCAATGCCCCCAATGACAAAAACAATGATTCCGAAGAACAGGCCCGAGCCGACCTTGAGCGAGATGTTCGGTCAGCTAGCTGCGGTCAACAAGAAGCTTGAGGATTGGATCGGATCGACCAAAACATCGAGCACTCAAGCAGGCGATGCGAATGTCAGTACCATGACGATGTGTGAGCGCTGTCTAGCCGCCTACGGGAAGATTTGGGGCAGTATCAACAACCTGGAGAAGACGATCGATAGCGAACCGGTACTCAAAGCTATTGGACGCCTGTGTAAGGATCTAAACACATGGGCGAAACTAGACGGAGTGTATTTAGAAGGGAAACATTCTCTCGACTACACAATCCGCGCGAGCCCCAAATTGAGAAACCAGGTCTTAAAGCATACCTTAAAGCCACTCCTTAACATCGAAGCTGCGCTCAAAATGATGACCGAAATCGCGCAAGAAAAGGCCGCCCCACGAGAACTACCGGTATTAGGATCGGCCCATGTCCCTACGACAGAAGACGGTCCTTCAGGCTGCCAAAATTCACAGAAAATAAGGCTCGAACAACCTTTCGGCTACGTTGCCTACAACCAGAGTCTCCTTGTGTTTTAGATGACGCGCAGAAATGGTCCGCCGAACCAGGTGCCTCCTGAAGCCTTCACGCATCCAACTGGAAGCGATGATCGACCAGCTTAAAAAATGTGTCAAATGGGCCGAAGAAACTAGCCCTCATACAAGACATGCGGGCTTTACGACCAAGCATCTGGATGAGCAAACAGTTGAGCGAAGCGGCTCTCGTTTGGTTATGACGCAAGGAGATGCAACAAGTTATCGGGGATGGAAGACATGGCCTGGAAGCTACATCGAATGTTCTCCAACCGCTGAATTAGTGGAGCTATCCTGGGCTCCATATTGGTCGGTCTACGCGACGGAAATGCGCTACGGGCGGACTTGAGCTATCTGGCGGGCTCGATGAAGATGGAGCTGGGTCGGAGTTCATCGTAGACTCATACGTCCGATGTATGCCAAGATGTCAGTACGTCTGCGTTAGGTTAGTGTACTGGGGAAGGAGTAGGAGCGTAGGATGAAGAGCAGGCGCGTATTTAGGCAGGAACTTCACAAGACCTACCTCTTCGTGTGTGCCCCTCCACAAGATGAGCATTGCGCAAGGGATGCGTACACCCGCACTGAAGCTGCACCTCTTTAGCTCCGCTCATAAGTTGTCGGGAAAAATTAAAGGCACCATGAGCTCGCTAAAATTGAGTTAAGTTTAGGTATGGAGTGCTCGAGCCTTCCGTGTTGCACATGAGATCATAACTTTGCCATTCAATTGCAGCAGCACTTCAAGCTAGCTAAAGTAACCAAAGCATCCTGGGTAAAGCCAATATCGCGAAACTGCAGGTGTCCGGCGTAGGCATATTATAAATACAAAGGTGCAGATATCTCGGCTCCCATCCCATTAATAGTTCTGACGTGGAACCCCGCGCTGCTACTTCCTATTTGGGTAAGCACTTCCCCATGTGTATATCCGTTAGTATACCCCACTCCTTCCAAGGTTACCAACAAACTCAACCCCGCCCCCCACCGTACCAAACTTCGACGGTTACTCCCGTCGCGACTAATCCGATGGGGCGTTTCAGACATCTCCTGTCTCGTTTGTTCTGCGGGATCTTCCACATCAAACCCAAATACTCAAAGTTACCTCGTCCGGATCCTACAATGGCGATAAAAGTCCACAAATACAAACTTCCCCCTACAGCCCTCATTCCTAACTCGCCATACCCGCTGCTCCACTATCCCGGTCTTCTCTATGATATGGTGACCTCACCGAACTTCAAAACAAGAGAGATTCTCGACCTTTATGCATCGAATGGCTGGCAAACACAATGGATAGCGCAGTACGGAACGGACATACAATCGCACTACCACTCCACTACCCACGAAGCCATGACCGTTATCTCAGGCGAAGGCGCATGGATCCGTTTCGGCGTCGCCGACTCCCCGTCTTGGTCGCAGGGGAAATACGAACCGGGTGGAAGAGGAGATGGAGAGGTTGGTGGCGTGGATATCAAAGCGGAACTGGGCGATGTCTTTATCATCCCAGCGGGGGTTAGCCACAAAACCTTTCTGCCGCGACCGCGGAACGAGGAATTGGCGTTTCACCAACCGAAGGATGTAGAGGAGGGGAGGGCGGCGGAGGTTGATGAGGAGAAGGAGGCGGAGAGGAGGAGGTTTTTTGAGAGTGTGGATATCAGCGGCGGGAAGTTCATGATGATGGGTGCGTATCCTTATGGCGGGGTTTGGGACTTCGCTGTTGGGGGTGAGCATGACGGGAAAGAGGGGGAGGTGTGGAAAGTGGGCATACCGGAGAAGGATCCGGTGTTGGGAGATAGCGATGAAGGATTGAGGGGGCTGTGGGAGGGTGTGGAGGAGGCTGGTGGTAGGGTGGTGATGGGGTTGAGAGAGTTGGGGTTTGGAGTTTGAGGTGTTATTAAGTATTGGGCAACGACCGGAACGATCTCCTACACAGTTCTTCTCATTTTTGCGAGGATAGATGTTTCTTCTCCATTTGCGTAGTCTCGATACCAAGTTCATCTCGTTGCTATTACCTAGGCATGCTTTGTCCATGCGCGTTCCTTGGAAGTAGAGCATGCACGGTAATGCTGGTTCCATCTGGAGAAACGAAATGAGATACGGACCGTCTACCAATATGTCTAGATGCTCCATGTCTTTGCAACGGGTAAGTTTTAGAACATGTGGTTGTGGAGTTCTCCGCCGCATGCTCATTCCGAGACGGGTCCGATAACACCGAAATCGGCGCTAGCCTCCACTCCCGCCCGCGCGCCCTACGAGTGATCCATCAACCTCCGTGCTATATAACAAATCGCAATGTCCTAATTTCCACAGTTACGCCATTATTCGCAATCGAAACAGCTTGCTCATTGAGATTCCCTCTGGTCAACGCGACATGTCCAAGGTAACTTAGGTAGGCACGATGCTGCCTCTCCCACGCCCCTTCCAAAAACCCAGGCACGAGCCGGCACATGATTAACGCAATGCAGCAAGAGGAGGCACACAACACCATGACAATTCAGGACTCCTTGTAGACCACTCTCGCTTCTAGAAGACGTTAACAAGGAGCGACGCTTCGCGAAAACCACCACCATGCCGCAGATAACCGCCGAATTGCAACCATAGCCAAGCGACCGAGTCGATATCATCATTATCAACGCCAACACCTTCTTCTTCCACCACCAAAGGGCCATACCAACACGTACAATGGTCGGAGCGACCTTACGCCTGACCCAGAACACTGGGCATCCAAGCCGCCAAGGCAGTGATGTGCCGCATAGCCGGACGCCCTCTGACGATAACGATCACTCGGCGTAGCCATAATCTCAGTTGGCTGACGGCCAAAGATTCAGGTAGACCTGGAAGGCGACGGGTGGAACATGGGCCTGGTGGAGGAATTTACATCGCTCGGGACGTGTGTTGCCGGCGAAAAGACACCCGGACACAGCAACATCACAGATGTATAGATGCACCTGCTGTCACGTGTGTGGCCCTTAACCCACGCCGAGACGACTGCGCTTAGGAACCAAGACATATTGGACCCCTCGTGGCTGACGGCCAAATCTGGTCCCACTCCCAGTGTATGGACGGATCCCGAGCATTACCCCAGACCTGGATGCATAGCTCTGTGGCGTGCGCGAGCTCTAACGCGCGCCAAGATCAGTACACTAAATTCCAAGGCTGACTGGAATGGCCCGACGATAGAACTACCCCTCGTGGCTGAGGCACCAACACAGGTCCAGCGCCATATCCGAGATGCATGCACGCCTGGCTCGGAATCGGCAGTGGTGTTGAGGACTCAGGATTCGTCGAACCAACCAATGCAACTCTGCTGATCACCCAAGACCCGTTGTACCCGAGTAGTAGGGTATGACCAAGCTAGCTGAGCCTCTGCGCAGGATCTGGGGAAGCCTTGGATGTGAGCGCCACACTACTAGTGCTGTTTGTAGAAGGAAGGTGGGCGATTGCTTGGGCTGGGCACATGCTTGGAGAGACAGGATATGTGGCACAACAACCTGGCTGTAGGAATCTATATACCGGGGTCTGACTGCGCGAATCTTACGGTTCGACTTCACGTTCGTCCTCGCAGCTCGCTTCTTAGGGCCGTGAATTGACTCGTCTCTCTATCAGGAGCGACCAACTCCTCTTTTCACATTCTCTACTTGCCTACGCCCAGCCGTCAAGATGGCTGCAATCAAGAATATCCTCATGAAGCTCTCGCCTGCGGCGAAAAAGAGCGAAGATGGACGCGACATGTTCTCGAACCGCATCCAATTCGTTCTCTGTGCCATGGGCGGTGCCGTTGGTCTCGGCAACCTGTTGCGCTTCCCATCCGTCGTGTACAACAACTACGGTCTCCAATTCTTCATCCCGTACCTGATCGCGCTCTTCTTCGTCGCTTTGCCAGTCCTGGTCCTCGAGATCTCCCTCGGAAGCGTTTACCGTGGTGGCCCGGTTCTCGCGTGGCACAGCAATAACAAGCGCGCCAAAGGCATTGGTCTAGCGGTCGTCTTCAATGGCGTAAGTGAGATGGACTTGCAATGATGAAGAAAGAGCGCTGACTAGCTATCACAGTACGTTGTTGTTACTTACTACGTTCCCCTCCTAGCATGGATCATGAAGTACTTCTCCCGCAGTTTTCAAAGCCCCCTGCCATGGAAAGACCAGGACCTCAGCGAATACTTCGCCAACGTCATCGTTGCCAACACGGACGCAGCTTCAACTGGTAGCTTCAATCCCGATGGCAGCGTCGCTTCGTACACTCAATACGTCGGGACTGGTATGCTCGGAGAGACGGCAGGTTGGGCCATCTTCACCTGGTTCGTCACCTGGTTGTGCGTCTTTAGGGGTGTCGGTATGACCGGGCGCGTAATCTACGTTACCATGGGTCTCCCGCTGGTTCTCATCATCATCCTCATCGGCCGTGGAGTCTCGCTGCCTAATGCTGGAGAAGGCATCAAGTTATACTTTGCAACATGGCGCACCAGTGCACTTGAGAGCCCTCAGATCTGGCAAGCGGCTTTCGGTCAGATCTTCTTCTCCATTGGTGTTGGCTTTGGGTATGTTCGATTGTACACATCAGAGAACAAGTATACTGATACGTCCCTAGATACTTCACATCTTGGGCGTCCTACTGCTCGGCGCACTCCAATGCCGTGCAAGATGCTCTTATCATTGCTTTCAGCAACTCCGCTGTTGAAGTCATCGCTGCTTTCTCAGTCTTCGGAGTTATCGGCTATCTTGGCATTGATCCCTCGAGCGGCACGCAGCTCGGTACCTTCGTCACAGGATTCATCACGTATCCTGAGGCTCTTGCTCAGATGCCAGGTGCTCCGTTCTTCTCCGTCGTCTTTTGTGAGTCTTCATCTAGCATCGCCTACCTGAAAACCCATGCTGATCGTTCCTCGCACAGTCTTCACCCTTTTCCTCCTCGGTCTCACATCCGCCTTCTCCCTCCTCGAAGTCATGACTACCCTCATCATGGACACGAACTGGGGCCGCAAACTTCCTCGCTGGGCTGTCTGCACCATTGTCACTATCATCTCTGCTCTCATTTCCCTGATCTATTGCACTGAGTTTGGTCTGCAAGCTTTGGATGCAGTCGACACCTACGTCAATGACATCGCTCTCTTCTTCACAGGTTGGTCTCCGCCCTAGTCCCCCCTTAGACCAAAAACTTACATAGTCACCAGTCTGGTGCGAGACATTTGCAGCAACATCACTCTACCGCTGCCGCGACGTCGCCCACCAAGTCGGCTGGCCCGCATACCTCATCTTCACCATCGGTTTTGGCGTTGCCCAGGGCCTTGGCATCCGCGTCGCATACGGATCGACACCAGGAACTGGCGCCGGTGTCGGTTTCGCCTTTTTCATCCTCAGCTCTCTCATCGCGGTCTTCGCAGCCCGAACACCTGCCATTCCCGGCCCACGATTCTTCGGTAAAAGCGCATTCATGAGCCGCTTCTGGTGGGTCGCTTTCTACCCTGGACACCAGCTTACCCGGGACATGAATGTGTTTATTGGCGTGGGAAAGAACTGGAACATCCCCTTTTACTGGGCTGTTATCATGAAGGTATGTCCACACCCAATCAGACCTTTGAATACATCTCGCTAATTGCATTGTCTCACAGTACATCTCCGGTCCCATCCTCGCTATCGTCCTCTCCTTCGCCTACCCCAAGTTCACACAACAACATATGTTCGACCCCATCATGATCTACGGTTTCAGCATCGTGCATCTCGTCGTACCAACCATTGTTCTGGGTCTATTAATGCCATCGTGGTTCAACTGGATCATCCCTTCTGAGAAGATTCTTCTCGGCGACAAGCCAGTTGCGCCTCTGGAAACGATTGACAACACGAACGCGATTATGGCGATAGCCAGCGAGGAGACTGGAGCGGCGCCACCGTACGAGGAGCCTAAGATGATGGAGACGAAGTCGACGAAGGTTTGAGCGGACTTTGTTGATACTCGATCGCACGTGTTTTCTATTGTAATGATCGAGGGGGTTGTAGCTGGTGGCTAGACACTCGCTTATATATTTGTAATTTGAACTAGCGATACACCATCCGAGAGTTCCATACCTCTTCACCTTACATGGAATCCTCCGACATCCTGCGACTACCCATCCTACCTCGGACTAGCCCTAACCAACCACGCCCTAATCCCCTCCGTATGCCTCCTCGGCAAATTCTCCCACCTCCCCTCATCATACGTCTTATCCATCTCCCTCAAAATCCCCTGCGCTTTCCTCAGCTGCAGTCTCTTCGCCCCCGCCCAAGGCGTCTTATCAATAAACGCATCCGCCTCCCCCACCAACTCCATCCGCTTATCCCTCACCTCATTTCCATCCTCCTTCTCCGCGTCACACAACTTACACTGACACCTAAAACCCCATGTCCTTTCCAAAAACCCCTGCCTGGTCTCGTAATCAAGCGACGCGTCGTACGGATGGAAGATCTCCTCGCCGGCTTTGATGGGCTGGGTCGCCCGGATGATTATCATATCGCCTGCGAACTCCTTCGTTGTGTTGGAAAGACAGGAATGGTTGATATAAGCGGCGTGGCGCCAAAGACCCGTGCTAGCGTTCCGTGCGCTTTCCTCGCCGAATTGGCTTCCAGGCCCGAAACCGTTCCGCGACATGATGTCGTGGACGCGGAAGACGTCCACGATGGCACCGTCTTCATTGCTGAAGATCTGTGGGCCTTCGCCTTGGTAGTCGCCGAAGAGATCCATCAATTTCTCTGTTTGAGACGGCTGGTTTAGGCATTTCTGTACGAGTGCTTTTGCGAGACCGACGGGTGCGACGCGGATCCGGTCGTCGCGTATGTCGTATGTCATAGCTGTTAGGGTGTCTTCTTCGTGGCCCCAGACTACGCAGAAGGCTTTCTCGCACATGACGATGTCGCCGGTGGCCAGTTCGCGCGTTGCGTATAGACCACGGCCTTTTCCGGGACTGTCTTTGATGAGCGTGTTCTTGGTGAAGTTTCCGGCGTCGACTCGTGAGCGGGCTTTGGAGAGGTTGGTGCGGATCTTCATCAGGTCGTAGCCTCCTGTTTCTTCTTCGCGGAGGCGGCCTTCGATTTTCTTGAGTGAAAGTTTGGCGTCTTTGTCGTCAGGGGTCAGCTTTTGTTGCTCCTGGAAGAACTGTTTGGCTTCTTGCCAGTGGCTTTGCGAGTATGCGGCTGAGCCGGCGCGGTAGTATGCTTTGCTGTCTAGTTCTTTAGACTTTTGGTCTTCGCGTCCCGTCAGTGAGGCGCGGGCGTCTGTCTTTACTTCATCTAGTCGGCCCAGCAGCAAGTTCACGTATGCGCGATTTCTGGAGATATCGCGGGCTAGATCGGGGTTCGATTCTGCTGAGATGTCTTGCTTTGCGATCGCTAGACCTGCTGTGTACTTCTCGTGGGCCAGTGGGAGATCTTGCTTCTTCAGGGCGTTGTTCCCTTGGGTCTTGAACCGTGTAGCTGCCTTTTCTGCTGCTGCAGCATCCTCGAAGCTCTTGGGGCCTTCTTCATGGCAAATGACCAGGTCTGAAGGGTGGTCGATGCGTAGTGTAGGCTCGCCCTGTTCAGTGAGGGTAAAGTATGGCTCCTTGATGATGAAGAGCTTGGTCGACTCCAGTACATCCTCGCTATACCGCGACTTGTGCAGCAGTATCTCCAGACGTTCTGCGTCAGTCCCATCTTCATTCTGAACCATAGTCCACGATCTCGCTACGAGTGTGACTACAGGACTTTCTCGCTTGACCACCAATTTGCGGCCTCGATGATGCGTCTCCATCTTGAGGTCTGACATATTCATCGGTTCAAGTTCCGACAGCGGGGTCGTGCATGGTGGATACGGCCGGCCTACGCCAATGACCGGAATCGTAGTCGAGGTCTTCCCCTGGGTTTGCAGCATGTCTGGATCTGGCGCACCGCCCATGTCTGCCATTAGAGCCGCGCCAGTGGCCGCCTGGTGAGCAGCCAGTTTGTCTCTTGGAGCCTTTGCATTGCCGCTTTGCTCGTCGCACTTTTTTAACCGGTCTTGGATGGTGTTCTGGATGCGTTCCGCCTCTTTTTCTGTGAGGTAGATTGTGTTGTCTTCTCGTTGACTGTTCGCCATCTTTCCGACCTGTGCCGTCGAGCCCCGACCGGCTTCTGCAGATTGGTTACACAGCGTTGCTGGGGCCTTTCTTCACCCACCAAAATTTCGACCGTTTCCGGAATATCTTGCTGACAGTTGTGGCCTGTCAGATAATTGCGCACTGGGCTGGCGGAAAGACTAGAAAAGAAAGACGAGACGAAAGTACGCGACGCGGCACCCAGAGTTAAGAATGACAGGATTAATTCCTGGTTGAGTCAGATTCTTCCTCACTTGAAGTTTGACACCACACGCGCAGGCGCGTTCCGAGGGGTCGAAGCTAGCTGAAATTTGTTATCGATAAATGCGGGGCTAAAAGCGACACCTTGGAAAGCGGAACTTGAAGCCGCTGTTGAAGATTACCAACGCCGAACATTGACCGCGCCAAAGAAAGACCACATCGATTCACTTCCAAACACTCGAACTTTTTGCACCCGCCTCTTTCCCCTTTTGATAAGTCTCGCTCAGACTGTTGTATAGACTCTTGACTCTGTCGATCTCACCCAGTAGCCGCTTCCTCTCGGTCTCATCTTCAATCTCCCCAACGACATCGGCAAAGCTCTTCGCGGTGAAAAACTTGTTCTTGCGATTGTAAAGCTGCCTGCTTTGTACCTGCTCTTCAGTCTCGCCCTTTCCTTGTACCCGAAATACCTCTTGCAAGATGTCGATATCGTAGGGAATTCCAAAGAGATCCCGGCTATCTTCGTATGTGAACAAGTAGTAGAACTCGTTGAAGCCCGCCCATGTGATGCCGCTCAGACACAAGGAACATGGTTCATGAGTAGCGAGGAAGATGCAGTCTTTAGCGGGATGAGGTCGTGTTGATGGGTCAGGAAAGTCGACGGTGCAGAATTGTTGGATGCAGTTGATCTCGCCATGTAAGAGGGGTGAAATGCGCTCGTTGTTTGTCGCGAGAGTGTATGGTGTGAGGTCTTTGCGGGATAGGATGGCTGCCCCAAAGAGTTTGGAGCCGCTTGAGACACCTTTTCGTGTGAGAGGTATGATGCTATCCTCGACGGTAGATAGCAGGCTTGAGACCAGGTCTTTGGGTGGTAGTGACGTTGAGGTCATGTGGGAAGACATTTTGTGGACGAGTAGCTGAGATGGATCTCGCGAGACGGGAAATTCAGCCTTTGAGAGAGAGGTGTAGGTGTCAATTTAGACTAAGATACTGCTCCCGCTTATCGCTCACTGTGTTATTGGATAGGGTTGCTCTTCATCTGCATGTCGGAGGCTACCGATGGCTTAGCCGCGGGGCCTCCCGATGGATTCGTACCGGGGCGCTACCGACCGCATGCGTGGACTTCTGGTTCTTTGATTTTGTGGTTCTATATGGTCTTCTTCTTACTAAGACTCAGCCCAGAAATCGCAATTGTGCAACGATCATGCCGCTGAAGGCCCGTGGGGTGCCATCATAAACCTGGAGCCGACCAGCAGTGCGTTCACACTCATTGTGCAGCTCTTTCGATCAACGGATCTGGATCATTCCTGGCCTCGATATTCCCGACAATAGATCGTCGAGTGGGTGAGGAACGCCTTCCGTCCTGTTCCTGTTCAACGCTGCCATGTATGAACCGCCAACGATACGATAAAAGTCATCCTGTGGACGTAGGATCACAGGACAATCGGTGTTCCACAATAGGGCGACGTGATCACCAGGCCGAGCGGCGGCTGGACACTTCCCAATACAGCCCCGCTTGGTAATAAAGAGCCTGTGACGATAGAATTGGTGATTTGTCTCTTGGTCTAGACGGAATGGGTCTTGTACAGATGCAGTCTCGCCCATGTCCAACAGTAGCTGCGCTATCGACCTTAGCATGCCGTCTTTAGCATACTTTGCTATCGTCTGTGGAGATCTTACGCTCCGATGTTGAGAAGCCGCATAGAAAACACTGACGTGGTTTTCAGAAGTCACGTGGTAGGTAGCAGTCTCACACAAATCTGTCATGATAGCCTTGTATCCGTTTGTCGCTTCTCGAGGTCTGATATGCTCTTCCCAGAAAAGTTCTGTTTCGGTCTCCGGGCTTTCCATGAGGTGAATGACTTGAATGATTTTCGAGAGAGCGGCGATTTCGTCTACGGTAGTGCTCAGCACATTGAGGGTATCATTAGCGAGTGGGTCGAAATTTGATGGCAATACAGACATTCGTTCAGAAACAGATCCTGTAAACGAGATGCCATTCTCTACGGTAAGACCACCAAATCTGCAAATTTTGTGCAGAGCGTGACAGAGTGGAAACTTGTCGAGGAGGGTCAAATCCCAACGTGGTGCCCATGACGGCATGTCGCCTGGCTGCCATTGCGCCAGCTGTTCCTCATGTTGAATCGCTAGGAAAATATCTTCCGTCAGATCTTGTTGTAAAGCCATGATAGCAAATTTCCGGTAGACATGCTCCACAGGTAAAGAATAGTCCGGTATGGTCGCTTCAGCTAGCGATCGTCCAGTAGGGTCTGCTACTGCCCAACGGTCATCGCCGTACCCAAGTCCCAAGATTGCAAAGATTCGATCGCGATCGTCTGAACACTCAAATCCCCTGGCCGTATGAATCGTTCCCATAAAACTCTTGGCGTAAGAGCGCTGATCCTTGATCGCAGACAGCTGGGATATGGCTCCGAGTATTCTAGACTTCCATGGCATGTGTCGCCAAGTGACTTCTGGCTTTTTGAGGTTGCTGACAGCCAGGTTGATGTGTGTCCACAGAATTTCTTCCGCGCCCCATAAGAAGAGCAGGTCTTTTGCCAGTGCAAATTCCTGTATGATCCACACACGCCTCCACCATGGACACTGGTTTAAGGCGTAGAAGGATTGCCATATGTCGTCTATCCACATTT